GTGTACAGTATGAGCCAATCAGTGGCAGTAATGACAGAGCATGCGCTGTTACGCAAAAACCGCGATAGAGTGAAGCCGCGGAAGTCGAAGTGCGAAGTGGCGAGGGTTCACTGTACTTTACTAAATTTCAAACTTTTCATCTGTGAAATGAAAATGGCTGGAACACCTTCCTCATGCGGTTACTAAGGGGATTAAGTGATAAAAATAGATTGAGCCATTTTCTAGCATAATACAGGCCCTCATACCCCACTTTTTGTACCGAAAAGAACTAGTCGGCAGTCTGCCATTTGAGGAGGTATTAATGAACAAGGACCAATGGTGCTGAAGAAGCTGCATCAGGATTTGATGCAATACTAACTAAAATGTTTCAACAAGCTGATGAAGCACTGGAAGCACTCGAAGCACTCGTTCGTCATTGCCAGGAAATTTGGAAGACACATAGTTGGCCAACTGTCTGGAAGAGATCTATATTTGTATTCCAAGAAGAGTGTCCCAATGGAATGCTCAAATTAAAGAACAAGATCACTGATATCACATGCAAGTGAAATTATGCTGAAGATCCTGCAACAAAGGTTTGCAGCCATACATGTGCAAGAAGCTACCAGAGGTTCAGGCCAGACTCAAAAGAGGACATGTAACAAAGGATGATGTCATTGCTAATGTCAGATGGATCTTGGCTGAAACAAAGAACACTAGAAAGAGTGTTTATTGTCTTTTATTGACTATACCAAAGCATTTGACTGTGTGGGTCATAACATCTTTGGGTAACCTTGAGAAGAATGAGAATTCCAGACGCATTATTGTGCTCCTGCAGATGTTGTATATAGATCAAGAAGCAGTTGGGTTAACGGAACAAGGAAATACCAAATGGTTCAAAATCAAGAAAGGTGTGTGACAGGATTTTATCATCTTACCATACTTAGGATCTGTATGCTGAACAAATAATCAGAAGTTATATGAAGAATTATGGCATCAAGATTGGAGGAGGGCCTATTAACAACCTGGAATAAGTAGATGATACAACCTTGCTGAAAGTAAGACTTAAAGCACTTACTGATGAAGATAAAAAATGACAGCCTTCTGTATGAATTACAACTCAATGTCAAGAAAACCAAAATCCTCACGGTTAGACCAATAGGTAGC